CCCAAACAGTCACTCATATTAGATTCAAAACAGTGATTAAACATTGGGCTGAAGATGTAGCTCACTGGTAAAATGCTTGCCCTGGGGGGGGGGGGGGACGACGACGACGGACAATTAAATTCACTAACACCAACTCTATTGGTTGGTTGGTAATTAAGTTTTACATTCAACATAAAGTTCCTTGTGAACTTTCTTATTGATCAGATTAAGGAAATACTAAGTATTGTCAAAGAGCAAGTGTGATCTGAAGGAAAACATCACAACCATTAAATATCTAAAACAACTACTTACCGCTGAAATCTTTCTTGCTGTTCTCTTTGTTTTCGAATTTCTGGGAACTGCTTTTCATAGTACTCTCTTGTTTTGCTTTCTTTAGCTTTCCTCCGGGGATTGTTTTCTATTCTGTCCACTTTTTTCTCCCATGCTTCCATGAGCTGATCATAACGTTGGCAGATTTTTTGTTCCTAATAAACACCCGCAGCAAATTAATAATAATTAAACTAAACTCTATGACACTGACAAACCTAATACTTTAAAATAAATTCTACTTCCTAAGGTTAAGTCCAAATTACAGTGACCTTTTTACAGTGACCTATGGCTCAATTGTGAATGAGAAACTGTCTTTGATCTGAAAGCAGAGAAAGGGAGTCCTGTTTCCTACTGAAGATCAACATATATGGCATACGTTGCCTGGAATTTTGAGTAAACACTTAAAAAGACTACACAAATCAATAAACTAATTGATAACCTACTACTAGTAGCTGACCAGCTTTTTTTTTTTCTGATAACATGTCTTCATTGTCAAAACAAAAAAGAAGTAAAATCAGAAACATGTAAATAGTTCTAACCTGTTCATAACCTGACCAATCACCCAAAGGCAACCATATTAACATTTTGTTGTTTTTCTTCCGATCTGTCAGAGAAAACATGCATATTTAACTGTTCTTCTAGTGTTACAAGTTTGTGGTTGTTTGTACTTTTTTGCTATTATAAATACATGCTACATAAACATTTTTAAAAGAATGGGGAAGGCAGAAATTGGTCATACTTTATCAAAAAAGAAATCCATTGAAATACGTAAAATTGAGAGTTAAATAAATGAATTATGATTCCATTTTCTAGAAAAGAGACGACAGAAGAGCCTCCCATTGTGGACACAGAACTGCATACACATCTTACAACACATGGATAGAGAAAAGCAAGAATGGGCTGAGAAAAAACTGGTAACGTCGGTCATCTCAAGAAATAGGCACTGGAGAAGAGAATATTTCTTTCTCATACCCCATTCCAAACCACAACCCCCACATCCCAAATCATTCTTTTAAATTACTATCTGTGTTTCTATACTTCAGCTTTTCTTCATCTCTATTGCTACCTCCTTAATCCAGGTCACCAGATTAAAACTGCCTCTAATCATCTTCCATGCACTTTTTTTTTTTTTTTTAATGCAACACTGGGGATTGAATCCAGGACCTTTCACATATAAGGCAAGCCCTCTACTACATCTCTAGTCCTTCCATGCTCTCTTAATGTGGCCATATGTAAATTCTTAAAATACAACTTGAACACTATACCTCCTCACTGTAGAATTCATCAGGATCTGATGTAGTCTTCTAAGTAACCTACAAGATAGTATATGACCGGCCCTGGCTTCCCTCAGCAGTCCCATTTCTCACCACACCCCCACCCCCCAGCTCAGTCTACACTCCAGGTAGATCTGAGCCTACCATACTAAGTCCTATTTCCCTTAATCATTCCCTCAGAGTATTGGTTTTCCTATGTAATGTTGTTGCCTGTTTCACATCAGGTGTTCCCTCTTAAATGCTCTCATAGTAATCTGTACGTGCAGGATCACAGTATGATCACAATACTAAACCTGCCTGCTAATGTATCTGCTCCCTAAAGTTGAAGCGATATGACTGTCTTGCTCACAACTGTAGAATAATATGAGACACAGTATACAGCCGATAAATATTTATTAAGCAAATTAGTGAACACATAAACTTTATAATTATTCTGTGAAGTCTATGCTCCTATAACTGTATCACCAAAGAGTTGATTTAGCAAGTACCACAATAACAACAGAATGACTGGACAGAAAAAAAACACATGAACTAATTTCTTACTTAGTATTTGCATGTTCTTGGCAAAACAAAAACTCAATGTAAGACAGTATCTGAAGGCCTAGCCTGGCAAATTAGAACATCAAAAGAACATTTTACATCAAATAAAAGCTTCTGTGTCTTGAGCCTTACAACTCATTAAATTGTCAGGTGATTAAGTGTAAGGTACAAAGCTCATTTCTGATGTGGATTTAAAGAGTTTATTAAAAATCTAAATTTAAATATATCAACAGTTTATCTGTAAATTAGTAATGAATGTATATGAAAATAATAATATAAGCATGTATTTTTTATAACTTAACTTTTATGATTATAACCATAAAACTTTCAGAAGGCAAGCCATATAATTAAATATAAGAAACCATTTGAATTTGAAAAAGCTGAACCCTTGCTGACCCAGTTTCAAGAAAAAATAACAATGTCTAATTGGCATGACTAAAACTTACCCACATTTGTATGAGGCTTAAGTGACTAATGTAGATCATCCTATTTATCTTTTGTGGTCTTTTTTTTTTTTTTTAAACTACTCACCATTTTCTTTCTTTTGGCTAGATGAAAATGTTACACATGGATGACCAATGAAATTAATTTGATAATGATATTAAGTGTGGTATTAGATTAGATTTATATTTAAGTCACATGTTCAGTTACTTTTAAAAATCAGCATTTGTTGTCATTAACAATGGAAAACTGAATGCCTGAATGAGCATGAATGGGAAAGCTGTACAAATTTCAGTTAACAAGGATAGGACCTCACCCTTTGTTTTCTTGCATGATTTCTTCTTTTAAAAAATAAAATGAGTTTTTTCCTCATCACCTGGTTTCTAGAAGAGAAAAATATGGTTGCATGACATTACGAAAAAGCACAATTTAAGGATGATTTCACTTTTTTTTTTTTTTCCAGACACACTGGAAAACAACAGGTAAAGATCACTTAAGAATTTATGATGCAATTAAAGTTAATGCTAATTTTTTCACCCTGCAAAATAAGACTTTATAATTTTTGCAATAATTGGAACTAAAATTCTTCCCATTCTACACCAAGATGACATAGTTAATTTTCAATTATTACATCCAATAATAAGGCATATAATTTATTTTTAAATTACAATTACATTTACTGGTTCTTCTTAAGAACTCTGGTGATAAATACATTTTGGAGGTAAAAGGGAAGCTTTTACAGGTACCTCCCTACCTCAGATACAGGACTGGCCTCCTTCCAGTGAGAATTTATACCAATATATTTACAGAGAGGTGGTTTCTGCTTTAAACAGAAGATTTTCTTCTCTCAAAGAAATGACACAAGCCACTCTAAGAAGTAATGGAGGGTGATGTGACAAGACAGGAAGATTTCTCCTATATCATAATGTAACAATTTCACTTTTTAAATTGGAAGCATTGTGACCTTCAAAAACAATGACATGCAGGTTCAAATATAAATATTTATACCCCACCTACTTCCAGAAAGGATTTCAAGCTGATTATTCAAATATAAATACAAAGCCAAGGCAAGTAGAAGTAATTTTTTGGATTATCTGCCACTCGGGACTAACAGTGACACTGGCTCCACTCAAATAAGCATGGACAATCAGGAGCTGGCTATATGAAAAAGTAGCCAAGAGATGAAAAGAATTATTAAAAGGTACATTTGCTATTTCATACAAAGCAAATGACGGTGATGAAAAAACAGCTACTGAACGATTTAAATGGATGCATGCAGCTGAGTAAATATTTCTAAAGGTGACACACAGTGGCAGCATTACCATAGATATATTCAATTTGCTCTAACTGTAATTATGTGCAACTTAAAAGCAATGGCAATCAATAAATACATTTTAAAATGTTTCCTAAGAATTTAAACGAAGTCAGTCAGTCAATAACCCATTTCAGGACAGTGTGATAATCATTAAATAGGCAACAATTCAAAGATAGAGCTGCTCTCCAGCTTATATTGAGGGGAAAAGATAGAACACAAATATAACTGAAGCTTTGTGGGGGGGAAAAGTCAATAAAAGTAGCCTACTAGATTTTACCTCCTATTCTTATCTTAAAGATGTTAAAACAGCCAAACAGTTCCAAACAATATATGTTAAGTTTTGCCTAATCTACTTCTACAGGTTCTCAAGACCATAGCAGCATCTCACAGAAAAATTCATAAGTATATGACTTTCATTATGAACACTTAACAAAAGTTAAAATTATTCAAATTTAAATGGTTTTCATGCATACTACCATGCAAATTATATTTGCCACCAGTTCTGCAAAGTAGTCAACTATTGCACACACTCTCAGAAATTAAAAAAAGAAAAAAATATATATAAATAGCAATGTGCTCATATACTAGTAAATAATTATAATATTCTGATAATACTTAATAAAACATATAAAGTAGAAATATCAACATTTTTGTCACAAACTAAGAATAAGTCACCTAAAATGCTCTTCAAGTATGATAATTTAAAAAAATAATAAAGATACCTATCTAGCTTCCTATCTTACTTCAATCAGATCAAGAAATTAAGATTTTCTTTTCACTTATTTTCTTATTCCAAGATCTGCATCCATAAAGGCCTGGTACTCAGATGAGCAAGGCTAAGCAAACTACATTCTGGAGCAGACTCCTCACCCACATGAGGTGACTGAGCGCTTCCAAGGCACCAGGACATTAAATGGCAGAAGGGTCTACAAATACCGTCATTAGCAAGAGTCATGGAAGGGATTTCCCTAGAATAGGATTTTGAATAATGATAAAATGATCCGTGGCACTTCTACTTTGCAATGGCAGATGTGGCTTGGTGGGGGACGGTGTCATCACTAGTCTTAAATGAAAAAGCTTCATTATCTTACTTCATCATGCGCCTTGCAGGTACTCCACTGAAAAAAAGACAAAACAGGAGGCAAAAAATTCAAGCCTCAAGGTAAGCCATTTCAATGTTAAGTATCCACCTTTTTTACTAGCAGATTATAAAACCAGCTAGTTTTATGCAATAATTTATTTCATTTTTTGGCCTCGGAAACTCAAAGTTGTTACCCCAACCCCCAAGAAGCCAGAGGAAGATAACATAGCAAATTACACAAATCTAAAACATACCTACACTATGTAATAATGTCAGCGGATAACATAAAAATGATTTTTTAATAGAATATATGGTTTTTAACTGAAGAACTCCAAAGATGATAAATACTTACGTCTTGATGTTCTCATGGTACACCTTTGTATCTGATGGCTGGTTATAGAGTGGCTATAAAATAAATCAAATATTTACGTATAAAATGTTGTACATATGTCTAGGAAGAGACAAAGAAACAATATTTTAATATAAGCCTAGGTCAAGTACTAATGGGTATATACCATAACATGACCTACTGAATCATCCAGACATCTGGATTCCCTGAATTACCCCAACTCCTAAAAACAGCACTTCTGTAACAAAGTCTACAAACCCCAATGTATCCTATAATAAATAAGTCTATTCATAGATATTTTTTCTTTCAAAGGCAAAGGAAGATTAAAATACTGCCTTAATCTTAACAATAAAATTCAAAGAGTTTTCTATTTCTTTATTTTTCCTCCTGCTACCTGAATGATTAAGTGGTTGCTTAGACAGAAACATACTCTTCTGCAAAGAGAACCAAGTTAATTCACTATCACTTGAAACTTACATCCCTATCACCCTGCTCACCTACATCCCACTTATCTCAAAATAAATGGTTTATATCCTGTTACATCAAAAGAAAAGTTACTTTTAAAAAAACCCACAAAGTTCTGGAAATAAAAAAAAAGTAAATTGCTTACCAGTTCAACTTTTGGGCCAAGACCTTCAAAAATTTTATGAGCTTCTTCTGCTTTTTTCTGGAGATAAAGACATTGTTATATGAAACAATTAAAAATCATATTAGCCAAGAGCAAAATCACTACCTATTTCAAAATATATATCTCAGGCCAGGCATGTTCACACATGTATATAATGCCAATGCATCAGGTGGTTGAAGCAGGAGGATTGCAAATTTGCTGCCATCCTCAGCAACTTGGTGAGACCCTGTCTAAAAAAAAAAAAAAACTCAAATTATCTAAGACTAATCTATAGCTCAACTTATCCTACCTTCCAAATATTCTTCTTTTATATTATGGGCTAAAATCTTCTCTAATTTTATTTTCATGGCTCCCCTTACTAAATTCAGTCAAAGCTGATTATGTATAGTGAAAGTGATGCCTAATATGTAAGCAAGTTCTTTTGTTATTTTGTTATTGTTGTAGGGATTGAACCCAGGGCTTTGTGCATGCAAGACAAGCACTCTACCAACTGAGCTATATCTCCAGCCCAAGCAAGTTCTTAGAAGCAAATAAATATTAAGAATCTAGAGAGATGGGATGAAGATTCACTACTGTAAATAAACCCCCCAAAACATTCTAAATATTTTAACACATTCTGTCTTTTAACAAAACTTTAAATCATAAAATACCATAAAGTGGCCAATATTTGCTATGGTAAACCCAAGTGATCTCTGAATTAAAAGTATATAATGAACTAATTTTCTAGTTATAAGCAAACCGTAATAGCTCAACAACAAAGAAAACAGCTATTTTGATACTAGTAGTAAGTAAATATTGAATTTTATATTTAACACACCATTTTTAAAAGTAACACAATCTAAAGTACTACCTAACCTATCAATAGTTTGGCAAAAAAAAAAAACTTAAAAACCCTAGCATTTCCGCATTGCATTTTTCATTCTAAGTCTACAGATCTAAGTTATTAATTCTTCAAACATATGTTGAGTATGTTCTATGTGCCAGGCACTCGCTAGACACTAAGAAAACAGAATAAGATATCATTCCAAGTGCAGGAGGGTGAGGGGCCCTGAAAATTTTCATTGAGATGATATTTGAACTGTGTCTTGGGGTCTGAGTGGGTTCCACTGACATGAAAGGCAAAACACTGGACTGTCTGAAGGCACACAGTGGGGTAAAGGTGCTAACAACATCAAGGGAACATCCAAAACCTGTTCTGGTAGGATATTATTAAGGAAGGAGTGTCAGGGCAAAGGCCAGACAAGTAGACATGTAACTACTGATAAATAAAATTTGGGCAATTGTGTAGAAAGTGGGAAATAATCAAAAGGTTTCATTTGAGCTGGGCACAATCCTGTAATCCCAGCAACTTGGATGGTTCATTCCGAAGGATCACAAGTTTGAGACCAGCCTGGGCAACTTAGCAAGACTATGTTTCAAGATAAAATAAAAAGTGCTGGGGATATAGCTCAGTTCCAGAGTACTTGCATAGCATGTGTGGAGCCCTGGATTCGATACCAAAAATCCCAAAAGAGCAAAATAAGTTTTGTTTAAACAATCATGTTACGGGCAACGGTTATGAAAGTTGACTTAGAAAGAAAAAAGACTGAAGAAAAAAGACTGACTCAATAATTATGTGAGATGAAAGCTCAAGTTAAGCTAATAGCAAAGCAGGTGCAGTGATGCAAGTGACCAGATTCATGGTTAGGAGGTAGGACTGATATTCTTAAGTGACTGGCTATACATACACAAGTGAAAAAGGGAGAGAAAAAGTCAGTTCCTAAGAAACTGGCCTGAGGAGGTTGCTTCCCTTAAGCATACTTCTCTGTAAACACCTTCCTTTCTTCTACTATCATATACTTTTATAAACTCTACAGTCAAAATATAAACAAATATTTTTGAAAACTTCTCTCAAATATGTGTCATTATTCTGAAATCAGAGCACTTACAAATATTTTTTGAAACCTACCAATGAGTAGGGAAATAGCAAATCAAAGTGTTAAAAATAGTACAGGAGAATATTCTGTTTGGAAACTAAACAAACTTAGTCTGAAAATTAAATCAAATGGAATCAACTTCTCTCAGGAAGCCATCTTTAAAATTAACATTCTCTTTTGGATAGTTTTCTTCTTCCCACTAAGTTTTAAATGAAAGAACAATTTCCTAAACATGATAATGGTTGACATCTCTTTAAGATACACTCAGCTTAATTCCAACCAGCAAAGACTACTGTTACACAAGGAATGAGAGATGTGCTTTCATCGTTGTTCCATCTATCTTTGCTGATGGTATCAAAACAGATAAGGTTATTTAAAAAAAAAAAGTGTTGCACAGGCAGCGGAGACCATATAAAAGGCAGCAAGGTAAGGCAAAAAGCACTGGAAAGTGAGCAGGGAGAAATTCGGTGTTCTACACCCAGTTTAGCTCTTCTCTCTTTCCCTCCAGGAGCCCCCACTTTGATTCTAGAACTACAGAGGTACAACTACAGCAATTTACTAGTAGCAAGGTATATTTAGGAAAGCATATGAGGGTCAGGGATGTAGTTCAGTGATAGTGCACTTGCCTAGCATGGAAGAGGCCCTGAGTTCAGCCCCCAACAGAAGGGGTGAAGAAGGAAGAAAAAAATTAAAAAGATGACTTCCACAATTTCTATGAGTTAAAAATATAAGATTTCAAATTTTTTGTTCTTTATAGCACAAATATATCAAAATATAAATGCTAAAACTGAAAGAAGAGGCCTGAAAGGAGTTTTCAAGTTTTGCTAATGGGCATTAAGAAACATTATTACGCTATCTAATGAAGGCATCTATATAATTAGAGTATCACATCTTCTTCAGATAGTTTTCAGTCCATATCCCAATGAAGCAAACACAGAATTCACTAATCTTGAAATTGTTTAAGACAAGGCCTGTTTAAAGAACTCAACCAACCAGTTAACATACTGAGCTGAATCTATTTGAAAATTAACTTGTTTTAAGAAAGGTCAACATTTGCCGGATATGGTGGTGCACACCTGTAATCCCAGCAACTTGGGAGGCTGAGGCAGGAGGACCTCAAGTTCAACAGTGAGGCCCTCAGCAATTTAATGAGACCCTGTCTCTAAAAAAAAAAAAAAAAAGGGTTGCCTCAGTGGTTAAGTGCCTCTGAGTTCAAGCCCTGTCACGTGTGTGCACGTGTGGGGGAGGGAGTAGGTCAACATTTTATAAAATGTTTTATACTAAATTATAAATTTCCATTCAGCTCCAATTCTTATTTACTTTATCCCTGAGGTCACAAACTGACAGTGAAGCCCATCAGCCCATTAGAGTGTTCTGTAGTTATACACAGTATTTCTTAAACACCAGGAGATATCACATAAGACCCCTTATTTCTGATTTCTTTTAAGTAAGAAGGCAACTGTCTACACTGGACACCCCCACCCCCAACACGGCATATTCATCACTCACTTCCCTTACTGCCTTCTACCTTCACTGGATTTATCTTTATGTATTGCTCCAGCTATTCAATAAAATGGACCAATATTGAGCTCAGCAAGAAACTAATATTACTTATCTACATTTAACCTGCCTATAACACTAACGATATGTAAGTATTTATAACTAATGACTCAATTATTTACCTGTACATACAAACATATCTGAGCCCAAGATCATATCTATAAATGTTTATTGAATTACTAATTCCTTCCTCCCTCCCTCCTTCCCTCCCTTCCTGTGGTGCTATGGATGGAAACCATGACTTTGTATATGCAAGGGGCAAACAGTCTATTACTAAGCTAAATGCAGAGCCAACAGGTACTTTTCCTTCTTTCCTTCCCTCCCTTCCTTTCTCCCTTCCTCCCCATTGTGGGGCTTCACAAAAGCTAGGCAAGCACTCTAACACTAAGCTACATCCACAGCTGTTTTTCTTTAAATTGTGAGACAGGGTCTCACTAAATTGCCCATGCTGGCCTCAAACTTCTGATCCTCCTACCTCCCAAGTCCCTGGGTTTACAGGTCTGCCTGATGGTGCCCAATTCTAACAGTCACTGTTCTTAAACTCAAATTTTCTTTAAGATGTGGCTATTGGGGCTGGGATTGTGGTTCCGTGGTAGAGAGCTTGCCTTGCATTCTAGAAGCACTGGGTTCATTCCCCAGCACCACATTAAAAAAACTAAATAAACAGAATAAAGGTATTGTGTCCATTTACAACTAAAAATAATTTTAAAAATATCTGGCTATTATAATATAATATAATATAATATCTGGCTCTCGGCATACAACAGATTGACTCTGATCAATCAATTCACTACAAAGCAAATAGTCTGAAACAATCTCAACTTTTACTGTAAGATCAACCTTCAGCTAAGAAGCCTGTTTTCTTCCATGATACGTAAAGCCCGTTAACATTTTTTTGTATTGAGAACTTCTGGAAGTCACAATTTATCAGCTTTGATAGAATGTTTTCTTTATATTGAGGTGAAATCAGTTTCCCTTTAACTGCTAGTTTCTGGACAAGGTTCTGGCCCAAAATTGATTTTGTCATACAAAAATGATTTATAGAATTGAGGCCTAGCTTTCTTAAATCCATGACATTTTTAATTAAGAATACAAAAAGAACTGTTTAAATAAATTTTAAAAATAAAGTCTACTTAAAGGTCAAAGTCAATCTTAAACTTTAAAACTGAAGTTTAACAAAGCCTATTTATGAATCCTGAAGGTGATAATGAAGTTCATTTCCATATCCAAGGCCTATCTGTACTAAAATATTATCAAGATTTGGTATTAAGTACAACTTCAGAAGTGAAAAACAGGCTGGGGTTGTGGCTCAAAGGTAGAGCACTCACCTACTAAATGTGAGGCCCTGGGTTCGATCCTCAACACCACATAAAAATGAATAAATAAAATAAAAGGTATTGTGTCCAACTAAAAACTAATTATTAAAAAAGAAAAAGAAGTGAAATATATTAAATATAATCAAATTTGCTTGTTGGTACTTACATAATAGGACAAACTTTGCTCATAAAATTCTACTCATTAAATAGTATATCTACAATATATAATGTAAAATAGAAATAGGATTTTAACATAATGAAAATTGTAATGGAACAAATTCAAAAACAGAAAAGGCACAGTCAAGGGTGCATAAAGGCCTGCGCTATCAGAGACAGCATAAGCTTACCCGGTTCTCATCGTAAATAATTTGGACAATACTTCGGTGTTTCTGTTCCACAGGAGGAGGGGACACAGGCTTTTCAGGCTCAGGAGGTTTAGCTGCTTCTTCTTCGAGCTGTTGCTAAGAGACCCAGAAAGGAAGAGTCAGACATCTGCTGCATGTCACCTCAACCAGTAATTAACCACCCGAGATTACATATGCTACTGAGCATTGCTTACTGATTCTGTAGGATAGCCATTTAATCTATGAAGGTCTCATGGACCAAATTCAAAGATAATCAGATTTGTTTTAACTAATAATTAAACAATATAAATCACCCTAAGATAGACAGATATGAAACTAAGGAGAAACATCTTATAATTTTGATAAATTAAAGCAAACCATTAAGAGAAATTAATACTGATGAATGTAACCTAGGTACCTCTATCTCAAGACCTTTTGAAGGCACTGGAAAAACTGTATTATAGACACACAGTATATATAAGATCTGGTGGAAATAATATGGTAGAAAAGAGATTGAGGGTTAATCCTTAACTTAGTACAACTATGGCATCACTGAACCCTTCTTTTAAAAAAAATATATTTTTATTAGTTGTTGAATCTTTATTTACATGTGGTGCTGAGAACTGAACCCAGTGCCTCACACATGCTAGGTAAGCAATCAACCACTGAGCCGCAACCCTGAATCATTATATTTTATAGTGCTCCAGTCGAGAGGCACTGGACTGCTGACATGAGCAGTTACAAAGCAGAAATCTTTTACTTTATTACTGTCTCAGTTTAAGCCTTAGAGTCTCCCTATATGTGGTGTGATTTTAGTAACTTTTCTGGGTTCTTGCCCCAATCTTTTTTTTTTAAAATATTTTTAGTTGTAGATGAACATTTATCATTTATTTAATTTATTTATTTTTATGCGGTGCTGAGGATTGAACCCAGTGCCTCACACATGCTAGGCAAGTGCTCTACCACGGAGTTACAGCCCTAGCTAGCCCTCTTGCTCCAATCTTAAGCCAATATCTAGACAACTCACATGTAAAGTAGGGGTAGGGATACAACCTAATCATATAGCTTTCCGAAGGGATTAAATAACTCATATATAAAGCATAATACAACTGTAAATGTTTGGTAAATATTACTTATTATTAGTGAAGCAGGAACTTGTCTGCTTTACCCAATTTTTTTTCAAACAGCACACAAACCAATGTCTGAAACCTAGTAAATGCTCAACGAACAACCACATGAATAGATATAAGCATAAATCCCTTGCCTAAGATAATAAAAAGGATTTAAATTAAAGTAAGGTCCATTAAAAGGCCTAAAGGAAAAAATACCTATACTACTAAGTAAGACTAGCAGTAAAAGCTCCCAGTCCTGTTTAAGCCAGACCACCCCTAAATCAAAGGATTAAAAATGTGCCAAGAGAGAAGCTTGTAGGAACATTTCCACTAAGGAGTTCCAAATACCCTTATAGTCTGTTATTTTATAAGCGAAAGAAAGATGTTTGAAATCCTGAGATCATTTTTGTGGGTGCAGTATCTTCAATGATGTCCTTTCTTTCCTGCTTAGAGGGCCTTCTTTTAAAATCCCTGTTAAGGAATAAATAATCCTAGGGAAATCACACTTCATTCTTCCTCAATAGCCCTGGGATAAAATAATTATAATTGAAAGGCTAAAAATAAATTAATAAATAACATCGCACACACACACACAAATTATACATACAAATAACACACACACACAAAAAAAGAAACCCAAACCGTCCTCACCTATTTATTTTTCTATATTAATTTTACATTAATTGTGCTGAATTTTACCTACCTTACTTATCCTAGTTTTAAATCACTAGAGCTATAACCTCAGCCTGTATTGTACCATTTCTAACCTCTCAAATAGTTTCAGATTTTAATTATTTGAGCATTTGGCAGAATTTAAACAGTGATAAAATCAATTGCATCTAGTATGAATTTACTTTTGCATGTGAAAATTTTTACTAATGATTCAACTTTTTTAAAAATTCGCTTTTATTTTCTTGGGGAATTTTTTTTTGGGGGGGGGAATATAATTGTATTCTCTTTTTTTTAATTGATTTTATTTTTTAAATACACAACAGCAGAATGTATTATAATTCTTATTACACATATAGAGCACAATTTTTCATATCTTTGCATAAAGTATGTTCATGTCAGTTCATGTCTTTATACATGTACTTGGTTTTTTTTATTTTTATAATACAATTCTTATTACACATATATACCACAAGTTTTCATATCTCTGTTTCTATACAAAGTAGGTTGACACCCAATTTATGTCTTCATACATGTACTTTGGATGATGATATCCATCACATTCCACCATCCCTGCTAATCCCCAGCCTCCTCCCCTATAATTATATTGTCTGTGTAATGTTTCTGCTTCTTATTTCCTTTCTTTGGTTTTACTCTATAATGTGTTACACCTTGGGTACTTAAACATTAATCTTTTAGCTTTAGTTCTTTTCTTTCATTTACTCCGTTTAGCCGTATTCCACAAGTTTTAATTGGTAAAACTTTTTATCGTACATCACAATTTTTTTTGACCAGTGCATTAATTATTGTTTTATAAAAATTCCAGGCATATGATTTCTTCTGGTTTATTCTTGGTTGATTTCTAACTTTATAATGGCAAGAGAATGTGATCTTTAGTACAGTCTTGAAATTTCTGGTTAATTTTTTGATTGTGATGATCAGTTTTCATAAATATTCTGGTTATGCTTGAAAATAATGTGTATTTTTTACTCTTCAAAATTTTATATATATATATAATTTCTTATTTTTGTTGGCAACATATCAATTACCACTGGGATTTTAAATTTTTTCATTTTCTCCAGGAGTTGTCAGTTTTTATGTTGTATATTTTTAAGTCCTGATTTTTAGGTGTATAAATTTTTAAAGATTGTTAGGTTTAACTGAATAGGAAACTTTTTAAAAATTTTTATTAGTTATTGACATTCAGCCTCCAGCAATCTGCTAGATTACTAAATGCTGGGCAACTTAGCGAGACCCTATCTTAAAATAAAATTTAAAAAGGGCTGAGGATAGAGCACTTGCCTAACACATGTGAGGCCCAGGCTTCAATCCCCAGTATTGCAAAATAAAACTCAAAATAAATATTGTTAAATTAAATCCAGTAATTAAATTTTAAAAAGAGATATATCATGACTGTTTTAGGCTGAATACTAAAATACACAGGTGATTTAAAACTAAATGAGTTCATCACATTGAGATATTAAAGGAGAAAGATTTTCAGTAAATGTAAAAAAAAATGGTATAGCTAAACATTCCTTCATGATTGAATAAAAAGTCTGCATATTGGAATAGAAGGAAATTTTCCAACCTGATAAAGAGTATCTACAAAAAACTCAACATAAATCAATGATAAAATGTAAAACACATTTCTTTAACAGTGGCTTAGTGGTAGAGTGCTTGCTTAGCATGCATGAGGCACTGGGTTGGATCCTCAGAATCACATAAAAATAGAGGTATTGTGTTCACCTAAAACTAAAAAATAATTAAAAATAAATAAATAAATGAATGAATGAAAGCAGCAAAGAACAACAATGATCACTTTAAATATTAGTCTGAACCAGAACAATGAAACAATAGAAAAATAAATAAAAGAAATAAAACTGTAAAGATAAAAACAAAAATGTTATTTTTTAAAATGTTGACATGACTATTACCTATACAGAGGCCCCAAAACAATCTATGAATCATTAGCATAAAAACAATAATTTTGAGAAGCTGCTAGTTAGTATAAAAGAAGTCAAATGTAATATTTAAACAAATAAAAATTTTACAAAGATATTATTAACAATAACATAAAAATATAAAGTATCTAAGTTGACTCTAACACAAGGTATATAAAATATTTTTGGACAAAACTAAAACATGAACTAGGTACAATGGCATGCACCTGCAATCCCAATGACTTAGAGGCTGAAGGAGGAGGATCACAAGTTCTAATTCAGCCTAGTAAAAGTAATGAAATCTTTTCTCAAAATTTAAAAAAGGCTGGAGTGTACCTCAGTGGTACAGCATTTGACTGGCATATGTGAGGCCCTAAGTTCAATCCCCAGAATCACAAAATAAATAAAACATAAAAAAAAATTAAAAAATGGAAAAGTATACTATATTCATGGATTGTTAAGACTCAAAATCATAAAGATATCTTTTCTGGGCTGGGTATATAACTCACTGGTAAAACACTTGCCTAATATGAGTAAGGCTCTGGGTTCAATCCCCACTATGCAAAAAATAGAAGACATCACTCCCTCAAAATTGATTTCTACATTCCATATGATTCCCTCTAAAATTTAAGAAAGATTTTTTGGAGAAATGAACAACGTGATCCTAAAAATTATATGAGATACAAAATTTTTTGGTAGCTGAAATGTTTACACAGAAGTGGGGCATACCTTACTGAACAAGAATTACTGTAAATCTCTAATAAGTAGGAGAACCTAAGAAGACAATACCAGCAGACAGGAACCCAAAACCCAGAAAGCAATCTATTTATAGATGTAAACATTAATGATAATAGAGTCAATACTAAAGAGCAGTTGGTGGGGGGGGCTTTTGACTGTTACCTTGAGGGTGACAAAAAGTTAATTTCCAGTGGATTAAAGAATAATGTGAAAAGCAAAACTATAAAATTTTAAGAATATAATAAATTACCTTATTCATAAGACTTAAAGAAATTCTGTTCACCAAAAAACACCATTGACAAGGAGACAGAAAAAGTGGAACCCTTATAAACTTCTGGTGGGAATATAAAATGGTTCAGCCACTTTGGAAGACAGTTGGAAGTTCCTCAAACATTTAAATGGATTTACCACATGACCCAGCAATTCCACTCCTGGATGTATATCCAAGGGGGAAAACATGTCAATGCAAAAATATGACTATCACATCAGCATTATTCATCATAGTCAAAAAGTGAACAAACCAAGTGATTACCAACTAATAAATGAACAAATAAAATATAGCCAAGCAATGGAACTATTATTCAAGCATAGAAAGTAATAAAGTAAGAAAGTAAAGGAAACGAGAAGGGGAATCGCATGGAAATGGAAGGCGATCCTCAGGGTTATACAAAATGACATATAAGAGGAAAGGAGGGGTAAGACAAGATAATTCAAATGGAAGAAGTGATTTACAGTAGAAGGGGTAGAGAGAGAAAAGGGGAGGGGAGGGGAGGGGAGGGGGGATAGTAGAGAATAATATAGACAGCAGAATACATCAGACACTAGAAAGGCAATATGTCAATCAATGGAAGGGTAACTGATGTGATGCAGCAATCTGTATACGGGATAAAATTGGGAGTTCATAACTCATTTGAATCAAACTGTGAAATATGATGTATGAGGAACTATGTAATGTTTTGAACGACCAACAATAAAAAAAAAATAAAATAAATAAAAAAATAAAAAAAAATAAATAAAATAAATAAAAATAACAATCACAAAATGAAAAAAAAAAAAAAGAAAGTAATAAAGTATCCACAAAAAATACTTCATGGATGAATCTTGAAAACATGCTAAATAAATGCAGTCAAACACAAAAAGTCACATAAGTTATATTGCTATAGGCCAAAATGTCCAAAATACACAAATCACAGACACAGACAATTGAGAGGAAGCCAAAGGATGAAAATGAGGGAAATGGGGAGTAATTATTAATTGATATGGGGCTTTCTCTTAAAGTAATAAAAATTAACTTGATATCTGGAATTACTGATGATGGCAAATCTTTATAAATACATTACAAGCACTTTGAAAAGGTAAGTATTGTGGAATATGACATATAATCTTAATTTTTAAAAAATCCTTCCTTGAGCCACCTGTAATCATAGCTACTTGAGAGTTGAGGCAGGAGGAACACTTGAGTTCAGGAGTTACGGACCAGTCTAGACAATATATCAAGGCAAAATACTTTCTCATTTAAAAAGCAAATCCTTCCTTAAAAAAACGAAATGACAAACCACAACTTAAATGATATCTATGATGTACATAACTGACAAGTCTTTAAGAAATCTTTTTTCCCCCCACACATGCTAGGCAAGTGCTTTATCCCTAAACTACATCCACAACTCTTTTTCTTATGAGATAGGGTCTCACTAAGTTGCCGAGACTAGCCTCAAAATTATGATCCTTCTGCCTTGGCCTATCAAGTAGCTGGGATTACAGGCATGCAACACTACACCTGGTAGGAAAAAAAGATAAGAAAATAACAAAACAACTTAAGAGGATACAAGACCTTAATGATACATCCTGGGAAAACAAGCCACAAACAAGTGAAAATAAGCCCAGCCTCATTTCTAATCAAGGAAATGCAAATTAAAACCAAAGTAAAAACTACTTCATATCCAAATGAAAAAAAATTATACATCAAGTAAAGATAAGGATGGGCATAAACTAATACACATCCATGCTACAAATGGGAATGTAAAATTGTACTCTCATTTTAACAAATTTGGCATCATACAGTACACTCAAAGAATATATAATCAGACAGTACAGAAACTAAGAAAACTAGTAGCCAAAAAAAGCAAATCACAGACTATATAAGGAATGATTCCTTTTATATATAGTTCTAAAATATGGAAAATTCAACACTACCTTCTTTAGGGGGAAAAACATATTAGCATATATTAAGAAATAAAAACACTTACTTGTTTCTTTTTCAGTTTAAGGATCTGCTGTTCTACTTTCGCAATTTCTCTATCTACACGATCCATACTCTGTATTAACTCTTCTTTTGAAAGCTTGGAAGGTGAAGCATTTTGATCATCTCCACATGGTTGCCCAGAGATTGGAGAAGATGGAGCTTCATGTTTGCCTCCAAATGCTGGATCCTTTAAAGAAATTTGAGACCAGAAATTTATTTCTCACTAACAGCACACTGGCTGAGTCAAGATGGTCTTAACTGAAAAAGTAACTTTTAAAATACAGCAGAGCCATGTGTACTATTTCCCTAACAGCAGTCTCTTACTACCAATTTTCATATCCACACACAAGCAAATATACATACATAAATCCCACAGATGGTTACAGAACTTTTCTAGTTTAGATGAATCATTCACTATTTTGAAGACCCTAAAAGCTATACACAGTGAGGTGGCCAGGTGGTTGATCAGTCTTCAGTAACAATACTGACACTACTGGGAAATTCTAGGGAAAGAAAAGGAAAGAGATAAATTTCTGAGCCATTTTCTTGCAACAGCTCTTTAAAATAAGAATAAGAAATAGTGTCTCTCCAGGTAAAGCCTGTGTGTCCACCCAACTTAACAGCTATGATATGGCCAAGAACTCCTATCAAAAACTTTTCAGGGCCTGGGGGATGTAGCTGAGTGGTACAGTATATGCTCAGCATGTATAAGGCCCTGGGTTCAATCCCCAATATCTATCTATCTCTCTCTCTCTCTCTCTCTCTCTCTCTCTCTCTCTCTCTCTCACACACACACACACACACACACACTCTCTCTCTCTCTCTCTCTCTCTCTCTCTCTCTCTCTCTCTCACACACACACACACACACACACACACACACCACACACACTTTTCAGAATTTCTAAGGATCAAAGCTGAGGCACAGAAGTCAGACCTAGGAACATTTGTTCTTACCATTTCTAGGCCTACCTTCGTAAAGCAGACAGACAACTAAGCCTGTCCATACTATAACACATGTAATCTCTCTTTAGTGAAAAACCATCATCTTACTTTACACACACATAAAAAAAAAAAAAAAGAAAAGAAAAACTTCATCAATTTCACCAACAAATCTGCAAAAGAATGAAAGCCCCTCCACCCAAAATCTACGATCACAATACACACACAAAATCACTAACTTCCAATATGAGGTAAAGATATAAGCAAGGTCATAAAACAAATGAATTTTAGTTTGAGGTTTTAGTTTTCTTTAGGCTATGAGAAGCCCAGAATGAGAATGATAAGTGAAACTGTAAAAACCTAACAGGTATTAAATAATGAGCCTGGTACAGTGTTGCTAATTTGTAATCCCAGAGGCTTGGGAGGCTGAGGCAGGAGAATCAAGTGTTTGAAGACAGCCTCAGCAACTTAGCAAGGCCCTAAGCAACTTGACAAGACCCTATCTCTACATATAAAAAGGGGCTGGGATGTGGCTCAGTGAGTGGTTAAGTGCCCCTGGGTTCAATTCCCAGTACAAAAAAACAAACAAAACCTAGCTGGTTCTAATTCTAAACCAAAAATGTACAGAAGAGATACCTAAATAATTGTCTCAAACCACTTTGCTTCAGAGACCGCAGCTAAAATATAACATGTATATTGCTAAAAAGCCTAAAAAGGCTAAACCTGACATAGCACACACTTAATAAAAGGGACATCTGGAGAAAAGACGATGGTGGCTACATCCTAAAATCCTATACAACTCTATAAGGAAGCCTTAATAAAACAAAGAATAATATAGCTCAGAAGCAGAATAGTTGCCTAATATGCACAAGGCCTATCTCTAGAACCTCCAAAAAAAAAAAACCCGAAAAGTATATGCATATATATGTATACACACACATATAAATCCAAAAAAATTTAAATAACAATAGATCAATAATACAATTAAATTCCTGTATCATTTAGGTTTAATATGCAGTTTATCTCTAGCAGCCTTAAACCCTGTACTTCATGCTTCCTCTGTTACAATATAAATTCTTGAAGTTACTAGTTTTCAAAAGAAAACAGTGTCTTCAAAATAAGAAATCATACCTAGGGTATGACCATCTCCCCATCAACCTTAAAAAACAAATTATAGGTAGAAATATCTTTATAATCTCTTTTTAACATTCAAATCTTCACTAATACCATGAAAGGCATAGTAATTCTTTTTTTGGTATTGGATATTTAACCTAGGAGTGCTTTACCCCTAAGCCACATCTCTAGCCCTTTTCATTTTCAGACAACATTTCAATAAGTTGCTTAGGGCATCACTAAATTGCTGAGGCTGGCCTTGAAATTGCAATCCTCCTGTCTCCATTCCTCCTGAGTCACCCACCAAAGCATAACAATCTTGAATTCACTAAACCAGCTACTCTAGCACTAAATGAAGACTAACTGCAGAATTTGTTAATTTTCTTAAGGTCTTCTTTAATTGTGAGGTAGCTTGTTCCTGAAAACTTTGAAACATTAATGTACAGAGAAAAATATTTAATGAATCACCCGGACTTCCATGTTCTATTAATATTTGTGTTATATAATTATGTATAAATGTAAAACATACTTTCATCAGTAGATTTTGAGAATGCTCCACAGGTAATTCTGATGCATGCCCTAAGAATTGGTATTACATATCAATATTTTCCACGACTTCCTTTCTGATTAAATATTTAACAAAAATATAAAACTCCTGAGTACATCCTTATATGACAGAATCTAAGCACAAAATTACAATCGAAACATTGTCCCCACCTTCATGCAACTTCCAGACAGCTATTTTTTTAAAAAAAGAATTAATTTCCTACTCACGTCTTATATCAAAATAAAAGCCAAGAAATAACAAACATAAGAGGCTTATCAGCAAATCACAAAAAATCTTTAAAAAATGACATCTTGGGCTTACGAAGGATAATAACAAAACATTCTATTTAAAAAGAAAAACTGATTAAACAAAAACAATCTTCTTATTATCAAAATTATAATAAATGTAAGAGGCAAATAATGAAATTGGGAAACCATCTGAAAACATTAACTAAAAACTCAACATAAAATCAAAAACAAACAACAGAAAAATGAATGAATCGGGTAAGCAGATCTAGGGGTTCCTTTCAACTTAAGAGGATCTATATAGGTCTCTGACTTTTCCTCAATATTGGTTTCCCAACTATAACATGGAAATAAGTTTAGGTGCTGTGGGCACACCTATCATACCAGCAGCTCGAGATGAGGCATGAGGACTGCAAATTCAAAGCCAGCCTAAGCAACTTAGCAAGACCCTGTCTCTAAAAATAAAAAGGGTCTAGGATGTAACTCAATGGCTGAGCACCCCTGTGTACAATCAATCCCTTTTTTTTTGGTACCAAAAAAAAGAAAAAAGGAAATAGGTCTTACTTTGATCCAACATGTTACATTTTAATGAATGAGTGCTTAAGATTCCCTTCTGCTAATATATATATCTTTAAATTATATTATGATAAATTATTCAGTCTTGAAAGAACTTTATTTGCTATGTTTAAGGGTTTTTTCCTTTTAATGCAGTAAAACATTTCTTATAAACCAGAAACACTATATAATAATGGTGCATCACATGGTCAGGTGTGTCTCAAACCTCCCAGAAGCTAGCTTACCACAAAGAGTTTTCTACATTCAACTTATTATTTTTGAAAACTTACATAAAAGTTAAATGAATAATAAAATGGACAGTCATTTATCCTTCATCTAGATTTACCAGTTGTATGCTATATTTGCTTTCTCTTTATATATACAAATTGTTCTTGAACTATTTGAAAATAAAGCGTAGACATACTATCTTTTAAATTAAATTATTTTTCATTGCATAAAATCTCAAAGAAAATTGTGGGTATTTATTCACATGATATTAGGGAAGAAAAGGCAATTAGCCATAAAAGTAAATAGAGGAAAGAGGTTTGATGTGAAAAACATTTTTGGGGGATTACCAGGGATTGAACTCAAGGGCACTAAAACCACTGAGCCACATCCCCAGCCCTATTTTGTATTTTATTTAGAGACAGGATCTCACTGAGTAGCTTAGCATGTCACTTTTGCTGAGGCTGGCTTTGATTTTGCAATCCTCCTGCCCTAGCTTCCGGAGTTGTTGGGATTATTGGCATGTGCCACCGCACCCAGCTCTGTCAAAAACATTTTAAACTTCAGTATGCTATAAAGATGAAAAAAAAAAAATTTAGCAGGCACAGTGGCGCATGCCTATAATCCCAGCAGCTCAGGATGCTGAGACAGGAGGATCACAGGTTCAAAGACAGCCTCAGCAAAAGCAAAGAGCTAAGCAACTGAGTGAGACCCTGTCTCTAAATAAAATACAAAATAGGGCTGGGGATGTGGGTCAATGGTTGAGTGCCCCCCGAGTTAAATCTCAAATAACAAAAGAAAAAAAAAATAGAGCTAGGTGTGATTGCACACACTTGTAATCCCAGTGGTTTGGAGTTTGAAGCCAGGAAGATGGAGAGTTTGAAGCCAGCCTCAGCAACTCAGCAAGACACTAAGGAACTCAGCAAGACCCTGTCTCTACATAAAATATCCAAAAAAAAAAAAAAAAAAAAAAGGCGGGGGGGGGGGGCAGACCGCCTGGGGATGTGACTCAGTGGTTAAGTGCCCCTGCTTCAAAAAAAAAAAAAAAAAAAATTAAGACAAAAGACAGTGGGGAAAGCATTAACAGATGTTAATAAAAATGGTTAATATGCCACTGTTAAGCATTTCTTAATTTATTTTAAATCAAGTATTTATTCAATACCTACTTGTTAGGTATTTCCTACTCTACAGATTTAATAAGGAAAACAGACCACTGAAAAAGATAAGCATAACAACAAAGCAAAAGCATAATACAGGGACACATTTCACAAAAGAAGGGTAATAACAAACACAAGAGGAAAAATAATGTGAGCTTAAAAGAACTCTCATAAATTCACTCTATGCATTATTTGAAATGTCACAAAATATAGTTAACACTAAAAGTATTTGTTCCATCTGATTGTATGAATGACTCTAGTTAACTATAATATATTATATACTTGAAAATTGCTAAGAGATTTTAAATGTTCTTACCACATAAAAGGCAACTACAAGAGGTAAAAAATACGTCAATTAGTTTGATTGACTCATTCCAAAATATACATATATAACAAATATCACATAGTGCAGTAAATATATAAAATTTTATTTAAAAATTAACGAAATAAGGGAGTCATTATCTGCAAATTACATCACTTCTTTCCTCTATCATTTCCAAGTTTTCTGTATTTGTAATACTTATACAAATTAAAAGCAAATTTTTTTCTACATTAAAAACTATAGTTAAACTGTACCTAAAATGTATTTTCTCCTATGTAGTAAGTTAATAAATTGCTACTAAATTATAGGGGCTTATTTAAAATATACTTTAAATTTGACAAAACTGGTAGTCTTGAGTGCCTCAGACCATATTTTATAGTGCAGCCGGTCCAAATTTCTGAGAATTAGCCAATAGAAATTTTTCTTTATCAGTTCTCAGATTGTTTTCATTTCCTAAAAAGTCAAAAGTACTGACTTTAAAGTCTGGAGAACTACATCTGTGTTATATGGTTCTATTTAACAAATTTTTACTTTCCTATTAGCAGTAACCTTTAGGGAGTGGCATAACTGGACTGTCTTTTAGGCACTGTGCCTGAATATGGCTAAATAAACATTACAAACCTATAGCTCCACAGGGCAAGAGAACAAATATTTACCTTCTTAGCATCTGCAGAAGACCTCAATCCTTCTGGCAGCGTGTGCACTAAAGGTAAAACCGCAGCACTGACACGCTGAAAATGGGAATCAGAAACCTGCTCCAGACGTGGTCGCTTGGATTCCAGTGAATCATGATCCACTGTGGATGGGCCTGGGTGAAACTGTTCATATCCAGTTCTCCTCTCTTGAGGCCTAATACGTATAACAACAACCAAAAAAAATTCTTGAAAATTTTTAAGTGATACTTCTAACATCCTGGTAAGACTTTTAAATAAATTAAAAATTTGTGTTTATTTTCAAAGTGAACTCCTTCCTGCCTCCTGCTCAACTCAGAATAATATATACCGTACTAGAGTACTATTAAACTTCTAATTCTAATAACAAATTCTTTGGCAGGGAAGGGAAGGATGGTAAAAAAAAAAAAAAAAAATCTAGAAGTAAATGACAAAAGATTTTGATTTGCAAAAGAAATTACAAGTTCCTAAAGGATATCCATAAAATAGTTTTAAACCCTATGCCATAAAAAATGAATTCCAGATCTGAGGATTTTTCAACCAATAATAAAAATAAGCAGAAAAAAAAAAAAAACACAAAACTCCCAGCTACTGCTACATGGAGAGACAAGTGACTTGAAGTAAGGTGTCATCAAGTCTTAAAGATTGGTCTATTACATGCCAGGCACAGTGGCACAGAATTATAATCCCAGCTACTAGAGAGACTGAGGCAGAAGGATTCAAGGTCCAGGATAGTGTATGCAAACTAATGAGGCCCTGTTTCAAAACAAATAAGGGGGTAGGGTGGGTGTAGTTCAGTGGGAGAGCACTTGCATCACATGTGGGAGGACTTGAGTTCAATCCCTACTACCACTAAAGAGAAAAGAAAAAAAAGACCAAGTTTTTTCCAATGCTGTTTCTTAGCACATCATCCTGACCCCCAAAACTCTAAATTTCCCCCCAAAAGAACAAAGTGTCTTGAAAGTTAGGATGCATCTGTTATTTGTCTACATGATGTATTACAGAGTCTTGGTTATGGGTATTCATTAACTTGACAATTTTCTACCAAAGTATTTACGGAGGTGATATTTTACTTTATAGCCAAGCTTTAAATTAGCGTCTCAAAAAAACAACATTTCACTGAAAACATAATCATTGGGTTTCATGTTTAGGAGAGATGATAAAATAAATGCTAAGGCCTATAAAATTATACTTCAAAAATTGTAAACCTCATTTAACACACAAAATTCCATGACCTCTTAAAATGAAGAACCTTGTCACAAAAAACAGTGGAGCAAGAAGCTTTAGGAATAAAACAAGGATGACTGCTTTCACCACTGGATATTCTTGTCAGACCAWCAGGCAAGAAAAAGAAATAAAAAGTGTCCAAAATTGGAAAAGCATTCCTGTTCACAGAAGACATGATCTCTTACATAGAAAACACTAAAGAAGCCATATAAAATGCTTAAGAGTAAATATGCAAATGCAATGAAGTTGCAGGACACAAAAATCAACACACAAAATCCCATTGTATTCCACATACTAGCTTTGAACAACCTGAGAAGGATTTTAAAAATAATTCTATTTGCAATAGCACCTGAATGAAATAAGAATAAAATCTGACCAAGGAGGATCAAGACTTAAACACTGAAACTCAGAAAACACAGCTGGAATAAAAGATTTAAAAAAAAAAAAAGTAGGAAATTTAGCTGGGTGCTTGTGGCACACACCTATAATCTCCAGGAGGATCATAAGTTCAAAGCCAGCCTCAGCAAAAGTGAGGTACTAAGCAACTCAGTGAGACCCTGTCTCTAAATTAAAAAAAAAAAAAAAAAATAGGTCTGGGGATGTAGATCAGTAGTCAAGTGCCCCTGAGTTCAATCTCTAGTGCCTCCCGCCAAAACAGTAAGAAATTTCAAGTTCATGTATTGGAAGATGTAACACTGTTGAGATAATACAAAGTAACTTAACAGAGTCATTCAATGTGATCTCCATCAAACTCCCACTGGCATTTTTTTAAAGAAGTAGAAAGACTATCTTAAAATTTATATGGAGGGGCTGGAGTTCTGGCTCGGTAGTAGAGCGCTTGCCTAGCACGTGTGAGGCACTGGGTTAGATTCTCAGCACCGCATATAAATAAATAAAATAAAGGTCCATTGACAACTAAAAAAATTAAAAAATTTATATGGAATGTCAACATGATCTTGGGAAAAAAAGAATAAAGTTGAAGAGCTTGCACTTCACAATTTCAACAATAGCTACATTAATCAAGAGATTCATCCTCTACTCATTAGCCAGAAGTAATCTATCAAACACATTTTACTCCAGTCAGAATGACAGCTATTAAGAATACAAACAATAATAAATGCTGGAGAAGATGTAGGGGAAAAAAATACTTTTCCATTGTTGATGGGTTTGTAAATTAGTATAACCACTCTGGAAATCAATATGGAATTTCCTCAAAACATTAGAAATGAAACCATTACATGAACCACCTATACCTCTTCTCAGTATTTATGATAAAGAATTAAAGTCAACATACTTATTACAAGGAAACAGGCATATGCATGTTTATAATAGCACAATTCACAATAGCCAAACTATGGAACCAGATGAAAAGATAAAGAAAATGTGATCCACACACATTCATACAAACAGCAGAGTTTTACTCAGGCATAAATGAAATTAGGTCATCTGCAGGTAAATAGATGGAGCTTGAGAATACTATGTTAAGCAAAATAAACCTAATTCAGAAGGTCAAGGGTCATATGTTTTCCCTCATATGTGAAAACTAAAGAAGAAAAAGGAAAAGAAAGTTGGGGAGGGGGGTCTCATGAAAACTGAAGGGAGATCAGTAGATTAAGGACACCATGGGAAGAAAGAGTAAAGGGAAAGCGGGTAAATGGGGAATAATATTGGCCAAGTTATGCACATAGGAATATGTAACAACAAATTTCACCATTATGTAGACCTATAATGCAACAATTAAAAAAAAAATGGGGGAAAAAAACTACCATCTGTCATGAGGTTAAAGGCCAAGCCAGTCAACACAGCACAAAGAATCAAAGTTATTGCTAGCCCACAAGAAAACCCTCTGTCAACCTAGAGTTCCTCTTAAACTTTAAGGGGAAAACATTTTTGTTCAATTACATAATTTCTATACTTTACAAGTTTCTCCAGTCCAGAAATATATGTTATTATGTTAGATGATCTTCATATTTTTCTACTTCTTTGTAACTGCCTAAACTTTGTCCTTCTGCATTCATTCTGATTCTGTCAAGACTTCTTACTTTCAATCATACCTTATTTTATTCCTTGATCCTTTTCATTTTATATACTAATTTTATAAAGGTGGGCAGGGTGATACCTGAATGTCCAATCAATCATTTTATTTCTTTGGTTGTCTTATCATTTTATTTTTGAATGTATCATTTTAAGTTCTTTAACAGTACATTGCACTAATAGGGTATATTCTTGGTTTGTGTTTCTTACACAAAAGGCTTTTTGGGGGGAGGGCACACTGAGGTTTTTTTTTAATTTCTAGTTCCAGGTATGTATTTGCTGTGTTCAAGCCTCTGCTGATCTACTCTTCCAAACAGACATATAAATTACTCCTGAGGGCTTGCTCATCACCCTGGAAAATTTCACACCACAGGTCCTCTATCTGCAGCCACTGAGAAACCAAGACAGCAGAATGGGAATGTCTAAGCATACCATTCACTACCACCCCCATTTAACTTTTCTCCAATTAGGAAATATGCATGAGAAATCCTAGGATATTATTGACCCTCTTTCTTTTTCTCAACACTGCTTCTTTGAGAATTAAAAGTAGGTATGGTGGGTGGGGATGTGGCTCAAGCAGTAACGCGCTCGCCTGGCATGTGCAAGGCACTGGGTTCGATCCTCAGCACCACATAAAAATAAAGATGTTGTGTCCTCCGAAAAAAAACTAAAAAATAAATATTAAAAAAATTCTCTCTTTAAAAAAAAAAAGTAGGTAACAGGAGGTCAAGTCATTCAAATTTCCTTCTAATTCCTTTCCCTAAATCTCATTTTTCCAAGTTCATGGTAGAAGATACGTTTCTTTTTTTCATACAACTTAAAAATTTTAAACCTTTTTTAAAACTACTTTTGGATATTTGTTAGAAATTGGGGAGGGTTAACATAAATTATCTCCACAAATTTCACCAAAAAGTATACATATAGTAATTTTAAATGTAGCCAAATAATTTTAAATCTTATCATCATAATATCTGAACAAGTAAACACATTTTAAAGATAGGAAATAAGGTTCCTTATACAATTGAAAACTAGAAAGGAAATTTAATAAATATAGTGAATAGTAAAGAAATTATTACAGATATCTCAGAACTAAAACAGATAATAAGGGCCTGTTATAATTATTTGTCACTAATAAATAAATTCCTAGAAAAATATAACCTACTAAGATTGAATCATAAAGAAATAGAAAGTCTGACCAAACCAATCACACACACAAATTGAAAAAGCAATCATAATTTCCCAGAAATGAGAAGTCCAGGATGAGATGGCTTCAGGCTAAATTTCACAAAATATCCAAAGAAAAATTAATACTAACAAATCTTAAACTATTCAAAAAATGAGAGCTTGAGGGCTAATTCCAAACACATTTTATGAGGCCAACATCACCTTGATTCCTAAACCAGAAAACAATAGGCCAGTCTTATAGATTACTGATGCAAAAATCCTCAATAAAAATATTAGCAAATGAATCCAAAAATATATCAAAAAGATGATACACCATTCGTCATTCCGACTCGGCTATGGCTCTCAGCATCGAGCAACTAGCACAACACCAGTAATCCCAGCAGATCAGGAGGCTGTGAAGGAGATCACAAGTTGAAAGGTAGCCTCAGCAACAGTGAGGCGCTAAGCTATTCAGTGAGACCCTATCTCTAAATAAAATACAAAACAGGGCTGGGGATGTGGCTCAGTGGTTGAGTGCCCCCCGAGTTCAATCCCTAGTAACCCCCCTCAAAAAAAATACATCATAACCAAGTGGAATTTATCCCAAGCATGAAAGACTGGTTTAGCATATACAAACCCATCCATGTGTTACATCACATTAAGAAAAGACATAACATCAATTGATGTGAAAAAGCATCCAACAAAATCCAACTCTTTTTCCCTGCCCCTACTCCCAGTGCAGTGAATAGAACCTAGGGGCCTCATACATACTAGGCAAGCTATCTACCACTGAGATACATCTCCATCTTCCAATATCCTTTCCTGATAAAAACTAACACTTGAGCTAGGGTTGTGGCTCAGTGGTAGAGAACTTGCCTAGCACTTGTGAGGCAACAAGTTCAATCCTCATCACCACATAAATAATAAAGTTATTATGTCCACCTACCACTGAAAATAAATAAAATTTAAAAAAATAATGGGAAAAAACCCTAACAATTTGGATATAGAAGTTCCTCAACATAATTAAGACCACTTATGAAAAACCCACAGCTAACATTATAATCAATGAAAGTTCTACTATAATCTGGTACAATACATTTTTTTCCCAATACTGGGGATCAAACCCAGGGGCTTACTACCACTCAGCTACTTTCCAAACTATTTTTTTGTTTGTTTGTTTTTTATTTTGAGAAAGGGTCTAAATTTGCCCAAGGTGGCCTCAAACTTGAGATTCTTCTGCCTCAGTCTCCCAAATCCTTGGGATTACAGTTATGCACCACTGTACCCAGCTCCTTAATATTAAAATTTAAAAAGAAGCTAGGAACACAGCTCAGTGGTAGAGTGGTTAGTTGTCTAGCATGAACAATGCCCAGGATTCAAACCCCAGTACTTCCCAAAAAAAGAAAGGAAAGAAAAAATAAGAGGCAAAACTCCCCAAAACCATGAATAGACATTTCTTCAAAGAAAACATAAAAATTGTTAAATTACATGAGCCTTGCATGGTAGCAAATGCCTGTAATCCCAGCAGCTCAGGAGCTGAGGCAGAAGAGTTTCGAATTCAAAGCAAGGTGCTAAGCAACTCAGTGAGACCCTGTCTCTAAATAAAATACAAAATAGGGCTGAGGTTGTGCTCAGCGGTCGGGTACCCCTGAGGTCAATCTCTGGTACTGAGGAAAAAGGAAAAAATAAATAAATTGTTAAGTTACACGAAAAGTTACTCAACACCATTATCAAAACCACTATATAAGGGGCTGGGGTAGTTCAGTGGTAGCGTTCTTGCCTTGCAGGTATGAGGCCCTCTGTTTGATCCTCAGCACCACATAAAAATAAACAAACATATTGTGCCCATCTACAACTAAAAAAATATTTTTAAAAATCACTATATTGGCTGGGGATGTGGCTCAAGAGGTAACACACTCGCCTGGCATGCGGGGGGCGCTGGGTTCAATCCTCAGCACCACATAAAATAAAGATGTTGTGTCCACCGAAAATTGAAAAATAAATATTAAAAAAAAATTATCTCTCTCTTCTCTCTCTCTCACTCAAAAAAAAATACCATATATAAGATAATACCTCATACCTATTAGAACGGCCATTATCAAAATATCAAACAATAACAAATGTGGACAAGGGTTTGGAGAAAAGTGAACTCTTGCACACTACTGCCAGGAATGTGAATAGTATATCATTGTGGAAAGGAGTATGAAGGTTTCTGAAGAAATAAAAATAGAACTATCATATGAACCAGCAATCCCTCTTATGAACATATACTAAAAAGAAATGAAAGACGTCTGCACTCTGATTTTAGTCAGCATCATTCATAATAGCCAAGATAGGAAAAAAGAGAAAAAATCTGTCTATTGATGGATAAGTTGATAAAGAAACTGATGTGTGTTCATGTGTGTATACATTATTCAGGTTTAAAAAAAAAATGAATGAGATCTACCCATTTTCCACAACATGGATGGGCCTGGAGGACATTATGCTAAGTGATATAAACCAGACACAGAAAAAAAATTATCGCATGATCTCATTTACATATGGAATCTTTTTTAAAAATTCAAATATATGGGGCTGGGGTTGTAAACTCAGTGGTAGAGTGCTTAGGTGAGGCACTAGGTTTGAATCTCAGCACCAAATAAAAATAAAGGTATTGTGTCTATCTACAACTAAAAAGTATATATTAAAAAAAATTTTTTAAAAATTAGAATATACCCAGGGCATGGTAGCACACGCTTGTAATCCCAGCAACTGAGGAGGCTGAGGCAAGAAGATTACAAGTTTGAGACCAGCCTTAGTAACTTAGTAAGGCCCTAAGAAACTTAGCAAGACCCTGTCTCAAATAAAAAATACAAAGGGCCAGGGATATGGCTCGGTGATAAAAGTTCCCCTAGGTTAAATCCCTAATACAAAAGAAAAATGGCTAGAGATAGAGAACAAAACAGCAGTTCCAAAGGCAGAGAAAAGATGAAAATAGGATGATGTAGTCAGATGATACAAAGTAGCAGATATGTAGGACGACAAGTTCAAAGATCTGACCTACACCACTAGGACTAGGCAATAAAACTGTATTTGGGATGCATGCAAGTGGGTCAATTTTAGTTGCTCTTGTTGGAAAAGAGGGGAGCAACAATGGAAATTATGAATATGTTAATTTGTTTCAGTACAGTAACCTTTTAATTATTTATATGTATACCATAGCATCATGTTATACACATACTTAAATATATGCAATGAATTTATTTTTAAAAAACTTTATAATTGAAAAAAAGTAAAAGAAGAGATGGTAAAGACATTGGAGAAAAAGAGTACCACATAGAGGGACTACTCTAACTGATGGAATATTTACTATTTACTTTGAACACCATGGCATTAATATCCCCATTGTTACAAGTCAGAAAATTAAAGCTGAAATAGTCTAAGTCAGAAACTTACAACCCTAGCTGCAAATGAAACTCACCTAGGAAACTATAGACACTAAACTAATACTTGGGTACAACTTCAGAGAGTGATTTAATTGTTCTGTGAGGGGACTTGGTTATCCCAGGTGGTTCCAGTATGTAGTATAAATTGAGAAAGAACATCATTAGTTTATATAAAACAATCAAGGTTACCAGGATTCAAACATAGGTATCCATTATTTCCCCCAACATTAACATTAATGTTGTGGAAACAAGTTTTAAAAGCTTGATAACTATTGTAATAATTACTATAGAAGATTAAACAATATAAAGGGCTCAAAATATAAATTATAAATGCCTACTCATATCTTGGTTAGTGAAAAATAATAATAAAAGAAACTGCAAACTAGGCTTGGTGGCACAGGCCTGTAATTCCAGCAGCTCAGGAGGCTGAGGCAAGATCACTTTTGCCAGCCTCAGCAAAAGTGAGGTGCTAAGCAATTCAGTGGACCCTGTTTCTAAATAAAATACAAAATAGGGCTGGAAACATAGCTAAGTAGTCAGGTGCCCTTGCATTCAATCCCCGGCATACCATCCTCCCCCAAAAACAAAATGATCAAATTATAATCCTTTTAAAAATTCCATTACCTGTCAGACCCTGGGTGAAATTCTGAAAGTAAGGAAGGTCGTCTTCGAAGCTGTTGTTGTTGCTGTTGCTGCAAGAGCTGTGATGCCTGACTAACTTCAAGATGAGAAGAGCGGTAGTCAGGGACTGCAAACTCCTGATATTAAAATAACAAAAAATTAACTATTAACCAATAACTGAAAAGCATAATTAATCAAAATAACTAGTTAAGGAAACAGCAATGAAGACTTCAATCCTTCACTTAGCCAATTCTTCCCCATAAAACTAAAACAATCAACATTTTAACTGCTTATCATGAAAAATAACTCAAAATAAAATCTGAAGTTCAGCCTATATTTTATTCATCCCTTTAATAACGTATTACTGTAACTCCCAATGTGTACTGTTCACATAAGTAAAATCTCAAACTCTAGTATTCAATATGAAATCCTAGAAAGTATTCCAAACTCAAAATGAATAGTTAGAAGGGCCACATACATAACCTAGTTACATCAATGCATTTTGACAAATGAAGAAACTGAAGTCTGAAAATTAACCTGGTAGTTAAGAGTCATTGTTTTTGTACCATAGCTAGGTAAATGTCTTTATACTTATTTTCCTTTTTGTTTAATTTTCTTTTCTACCCACTTTCCCTGACAAGAATCACCAGGCCCCAGGCCCCTTGATCAAACACTTGGCCAAACCAAGTTGAGTCTCAGTGTCCTTACAGTCCACTGCTTTGGGCCTGAGGTGAGGCAAAAGAACATCACAGTGGAAGGATGTAGCAGAGAAAAAGCTGTTCACCTCACAACAGCTGGGAAGGGGTGGGGATAAGATAGAAGAAACAGGGAGGAAGAAAGAAGAGAGGGAAGAGAGGGAAAGGAGAGGGGAAGAAGAAGATGAGAAGGAAGAAGAAGAAAGAAAAATCTGTTGTTGTTATTGTTTTTTAAAAAACAGGGTTTTGTTATGGTGCCTACACTAGCCTGGAAATCCTGGACTCAAAACAATCCTCCTGCTTCAGTTTCTCAAACAGTTGAAATTACAAGTGTGCACCATTATACTTAGCTTTAGGCTAATTTGTCTGCTCTTGATTTTTTAGCAAAAGCTTCTTTTCATAACAAATCTATTGTGGTAACTCAATCATAAACAGATGTTAAACACAAAATTACTAAATAACCAAGGAATTTAGTATATATATACAAGATCCACGCCCAAAGGAATTAAAAGTACCCAACTACACACAAAACAAATTCTCAGGACCACTACTCACAATTATCAAAAAAGAAGCACCCAAATGTCCAAAGACTAATTGAATGAATAAATAAAACATGGTATATCCATACAATAGAATATTATTCAGCATAAGTTAAGAACCTAAAAAAATTGTAAGTTTAAAAAGAAAGTTGGATAGGGCTGGGGTTGTGGCTCAGTGGTCAGCTGCTTAACTAGCATGTGTGAGGCACTGAGATCAATTCTTAGCACCACATATAAAGTCTATTGATAACTAAAAAATATATTTAAAAAAGAAGTATTTAGATAAAAAGGCCACATATATTATTCCATTTATATCAAATTTGTACAAGAGGCGAATTTATAGAGATATAAAGTAGATTAGAGATTGCCAGAGGATGGTGGGGGGGAGGCGCAGAATTAAGACTGCTGTTAGATATGGAGTTCTGTTTCAGGCGATGGAAATGTTCTGAATTTATACAATAGTGATGATTACACAACATAGTAAATACACTAAAATCCACTGTATTAGACACTTTAAATGGTGGCTTTTCTGTTAATGTGAACTCTATGCCAACAAAAACTTTTTGAAATCATGAACAAATTAAAGTGAGGTGTCCAGAACCTTTCAAATACAAAGTTGAAAACAGACACAAAGTTGAAAACAACAAAGCAAAAGAAAACACCGAAGACAAAAATCATTTTAATTCTTTTAAAAGCCTCCAAAAGAAAAAAGAATTTAGGGCTGGGGTTGTGGCTCAGCAGCAGAGCGCTCGCCTAGCAAGTATGAGGTCCTGGGTTTGATCCTCAGCACCACATAAAAATAAAGATACTGTGTCCAACTAAAAAATAAATATTAAAAAAAAAAAGAATTTAAAAAAAGAAAAAAGAATTTACATCCAAGGGAATAGGCAAAAGTAGAAAAAGACATGAGAATATAATAGCCTCAAAAAAAATCAAATAGTGATCAGAGAAATTAAAAATTTGATCACTGAAATTAAACAGTTGTTAAACAGAAAGGTGAAGGGCAAAGGAAAAAAGACAGAATAGAAGTTCACTTAGAACACAAAAGCAGAAAATATAAAATATAAAGATATTAAATAAAGGAGTTAGAGTAATAAGTTCAAATATCCAACTCCACAGGTGAGAGATTTTCTAAGAAAGAACGGAACAGAATTTCTCAGAAGTTAGAAAAAACATAATCCTTGGATTTAAAAAGGCCCAGGGAAAAAGCACTATTATATTTAAAAATTAATCCACACTGGACAGGTGAAAAGTTTAGAAACTCAATGATAAAATGAAAGTTTTACTATAATCTCCAAGAAATATAAAACAGGTTTCCTATTAGAAAAAAAGAAAAGGAAGGAAGGAAGAAAGAAAAAAAAGAAAAGCAGCCTTTTCATCACCAATGAATAGAAGCAAACAGACTAGAGCAAATTCCAAGTCCAGAGGAAAATGACTTAATCTACAAATTTTAAAACCACATCATCTGGGGCTGGGGATGTGGCTCAAGCGGTAGCGCGCTCGCCTGGCATGTGTGCGGCCCGGGTTCGATCCTCAGCACCACATACCAACAAAGATGTTGTGTCCGCCGAGAACTAAAAAATAAATATTAAAAATTCTCTCTCTCTCTCTCTCTCCTCTCTCATTCTCTTAAAAAAAAAAAAAAAACCACATCATCCAAATTTTAGGGCTACAAACTTTTCAGAATTCAAGAACTCATAAAAATATACCAACCACATAGTCTCTGAAATTTTGGTTTTGGTTTTATTTTGTGGTGCAAGAGACTGAACACATACCCTCACTCAGCTGTACTCCCAGACATGTGAGAATTTCTAGAGAATGAATTCAATAAGACAAATTTGATCCAAAAGTAAAGAGTGAAATAAAAGAAACAATAGAGCTCTATAGCTTCCAGTTTTGAGGAAATAATATTACTCAGAATTAACTACTCATAAAATGTAGTAATTAGTTTCACATACTGGGCAACAGGCAGCACAGAACATAATGTCCATGAGAAACTAAACAAACGAGGTGAATCCTACCTGCCATACTCCAGACTTTCTACCTAAAGGCAATTTCCAAACYGCAGCCTTGGGTAGGGAATATAAACACTGCCTTACAGTTGGGAAGAAAGAATGGCACAGGTTTGGAGAAGTAAGATGACCAAAATTGTTGGAGAAGACTTCCAAAGAGAAGGAGTTTTGTTTGTTTGCTTGTGGTAGTGGGGATAAAACCACTGAGCTACATCCCCAGTCCTTTTTAGTTTTTATTTTGAGAGAGGGTCTTACTAAGTTACTGAGGATCTCGCTAAATTCCTGAGACTGGCCCTGAACCCGAGATCCTCTTGTCTCAATCTCCTGAGTTGCTCCAATTACAGGCATGAGACACCATGTCTGGCAGAGAAGGGGGTTATATAAAGATTTTTTTGAAATATGAATTTCAGTTCCTTTAAATCTTTGAATAGAAAAGGCACAAGGCTGGACTACAACAATTTTAAAGAAAATAATTACAAACAACTTATGATGAAAGAACAATTAGGGAGAATCATAAAGCAAATAATTCCCAGAGTTCACTTGAGATCAATATTCATTTGAATCTCCTCTTGAAAAAAAACTTTAAAAAAAAAATACACATATACATATATATGAATCCAGACATGGTAGTTCATGCCTGTAATTCCAGCAGCTCAAGAGGCTGAGGGAGGAGGATCCCAGTTCAAACAAAAGCCTCAGCAATTTAGGGAGGACCTAAGCAACTTAGAGAGACCCCGTCTCAAAAAAAAAAAAAAAAAAAAAAAAAGGTGGGGCTGGGGATGTGCCTCTGGATTCAACCCCTGGTACCCACTCCCAAAAAAGTGAAGAAATCTCAGTGAATATACAGACCCTCCAGAGGACAAAAGCTTATAATTAATCAGGGGTTAAATTAGAACACAAAGTCTATTTTAGACCTGCCCTAAGAGATTAAAAACAAGCCTAAAAGTTAATTTGTCTATCAACAAATCCAACTCTCTTTAAAGGAATACAACAAAAACCAACACCAAAACAGTGTATAAAATTCAAATATTCAAATTTCAATCAAAAAATCCAATATCTGTAATGAGAATGTCATTGGATGAAATTAATAGCAGGTTGAAGGGCTGGGGTTGTGGCTCAGTGTTAGAGCACTTGCCTACCATGTGTGTAGCACTGGTATAGATTCTCAGCACCACATATAAATAAATGGTTATATAAAGGTCCATCAACAACTATAAAAAAGCTTTTAAAAAAGCAGATGGGAAACTACACAAGAAACAGATCACTGGTTGTGAAAGCTATTGGAGAACCAAACTAATGGATAAAATAAAACTAAAAATGGGAGCTGGGGATGTGGCTCAGTGGTAGAGTACACGCCTTGTATGTGTGAGGCACTGGGTTCAATTCTCAGCACCAAATAAAGATAAATAAAGGTATTGTGTCCATCTACAAGCAAAAAAATATTTAAAAAAAAAAAGTAAAAATGAAAAAGGCCCAGTGACTTGTGGGATAATACAAAATATGAGTAACTATTGAGACAGAAAAAAAAAATTGAAGAAAGGAAATATCCCAAAATTGCCCAAATATTATAAAAACTATGAATCCAAAGAAGATGCTTGGTAAATGCCAAAAATAATAACATACTCATTCAAAAAACACAAGAAAAGAGCCAAGTGTGATGGCACACACCTGTCAACCCAGCTCAGAGGCTGAGACAGGAGGATGGAGAGTTCAAAGCTAGCCTCAGCAACAGCAAGGCGCTAAACCAACTCAGTGAGACCCTGTCTCTACATAAAATACAAAATAGGGCCGGGGATGTGGCTCAGTAGTTGACTGCCCCTGAGTTCCATCTGTGGTACCACAAAACAAAACCTCAAGAAAGGTACATCAAAACCAAATTGTTGAAAAACCAGTGATAAAGATAAAAATCTTAAAAGTAACCAGAGGTTGGGAAGAGGCATTTTATAAATAAATAAACAATGATAAAAAGAACACAGGCTTAAACTGGGCACAGTGGTGCATGTCTGTAATCCCAGCAGCTTGGGAGACTGCTGAGGCTGAAGGATCACAAATTTAAAGCCAGCCTCAGCAACGTAGTGAAGCAACTCTGAGAGATCTAGTCTCAAAATAAAAAGGATGAGGATGTGCTTCAATTATTAAGCGCACCCCAAGTTCAATCCCTGTTACAAAAAAAAGACCACATACTTAAAAATTAGAAACCACAAAAGCCAGAACTCAAAAAAAATATATATCATTTGAAGTACTAGGGGGAAAAAACTGTCAATTTAGAATTCAATATCAAGTAAAAATATTATTCAAAAATTAAGTTGAAATAAAAACTTCTTCAGATAAATAAAACCTAAAATAATTCATTGCTAGACATGTACTAAAAGAAATGAAGTTATTTAGACAAGAAGAAAAAAATGATAAACAAGAAACTTGAATATCCAAAGAATGAAGCGCTTTAGAAATAGTACATATGCAGATAACTATAGAAGAAAGAAAATAATAAAAGAGCAGAAATCAATGAAAAAGAAAACCAAGTGAAAATAAATGAAACCACAGTCTGTTTTTCAAAGAAAGAACCCATCAAATTGATAAGCCTCTAGGCAGACTGATTAAAGAAAAAAGAAAAAAAATCCACTTATTATCAATATAAGGAATAACATCTAACATGTGTCAAAGACATTGAAATCATAATGGAATAGTGTAACTTTTGACAATAAATTTAAGGTTTTTCTTAGAGTTTACTCAAACTGCTTCCAGAAGAAAATAGAAACTCTAAATAATAACTATCAAAGAGGAGCTGGGGTTGTGGCTCAGCGGTAGAGTGCTCACCTAGCACGTGTGAAACCCTGGATTCGATCCTCAGCACCACATAATAAACAAACAAACCAACCAACAAATACATAAATAAAATAAAGGTATTGTGTCCAACTACAACTAATAAATGCTTTTTAAACAATTAAAAAATACATATAACTATTAAAGAAACTGAGTTCATAATTTAAATTCTTGCCAGAAAGAAAATTCTAGGTCCAATGGCTTCATGATGTATCTATCAAACATCTAAGGAAGAAAAAACACCAATCCTACATAAATTCTTTTAAGAAAATACAAGAAAAGGAAACATTTTCTAAGTTAATATTAGTCTTTTTTAAAATTTATTTTTTAGTTATACATGACAGTAGAATACATTTTGACATATCATACATACATGGAGTATAACTTCCCATTTGTGTGGTTGTACATGATGGTTGTGTATTCACATAAGAAGAATATAGGAAAGGGGCTGCAGGTGTGGCTCAGTGGTAGAGCGCTTGCCTAGCACATGTGAGGCACTGGGTTTGATCCTCAGCACCACATAATAAATAAATAAAGGCTTGTGTCCACCTACAACAGTACACACACACACACACACACACACACACACACACACACACACACAGGAAAGTAATGTCTGATTCCTTCTATCTTTCTTATTCACATCCCCTTTGTTCCCTTCATTCCCCTTTGTCTAATCCAGTGAACTTCTATTCTCTCCCCACCGATTATTGAGATTTAGAAACTACATATCAGAGAGAACATCCGGCCTTTGGTTTTTTGGGTTTGGCTTACTTCACTTAACATGATAGTCTCCAGTTCCATCCACAAATGTCATAATTTTATTTTTCTTTATGGCTGAGTCAATATACAACATTTTCTTTATCCATTCATCTGTTGATGGGCATCTAGGTTGGTTCCATAGCTTGGCTACTATGAATTGAGCTGCTATAAACATTGATATGGCTGCCTCACTGTGGTATGCTGATTTTAAGTTGTTTGAGTATATACCAAGGAGTGGGATAAATGGGTCAAATGGTGGTTCCATTCCAAGTTTTCTGAGAAGTCTCCCTACTGCTTACCAGAGTAATTTCACCAATTTGCAGTCCCATCACCAATGTATGAGTATACCTTTTTCCCCACATCCTCGCCAACATTTATTGTTCCTTGTATTTTTGATAATTGCCATTCTGACTGGAGTAAGATGAAATCTCAGTGTTGTTTTAATTTGTATTTCTCTAATTAGTAGAGATGTTGAACATTTTTTCATAATTTGTTGACCAATCATTTCTTCTGTGAAGTGTCTGTTCAGTTCCTTTGCCATTTTATTGATTGGGTTGTTTGCTTTTTTAGTGTTAAGATTTTTGAGCGGGCTGGGGTTGTGGCTCAGCAATAGAGGGCTCACCTAGTATGTGCAAAGCCCCGAGTTCGATCCTCAGCACAACATAAAAATAAAATAAAGGTATTGTGTCCAACTACAACTAAATAAACAAAATATTTAAAAAATATTTATGAGTTATTTATATATCCTAGAGATTAATGCTCTATCTGAAGTGCAGGTGACAAAGATTTTCTTCCATTCTGTGGGCTCTCTCTTCACATTCTTGATTGTTTCCTTTGTTGTGAAGAAGCTTTTTAGGTTGATACCATCCATTTCTTGATTCTTGATTTTACTTCTCACACTTCAGGAGTTTTGTTGAGAAATCTGGTTCCTAAGACAACATGATGGAGATTTGGGCCTACTTTTTCTTCTAGTAGGCACAGGTTTCTGGTCTAATGCCTATGTCCTTGATCCACTTTGAGTTGAGCTAACATTATTTTTTTTTAAGTCTTTCTTTTATTTATTTACTTTTATATGGTGCTGAGGATCAAAGCCAGTGCCTCACACATGTTAGGCAAACCCTCTACCACTGAGCCACAACCCCAGCCCCAGCTAACATCATTCTTAACAATGAAAAACTGAAACTTAACTTTTTAACTCAGTTCACATACAAAACTTAATTCAAAACAGAAATGTAAAGCCTAAAATTATAACACTTAGAGAAGGAAACATAGAAAGTCTTAGTAACCTTAAGTTTGGCAAAAACTTAAGATACAACTCAAAAAACACAAAATATAAAAGAATTAGACCTCATAAAAAATTTTAAATGTATGATCACCAAAGGACACTGTTAAGAAAATAAGGCAGTACTTCTGTATGTAATCTATATATAACAACATAGATATATTTTCTAATTTATTTTATTTATAATAACTAAAAACTAGAATAGGTAACATCCATATCTAGCAATAAAAAGTTAATACTGAAAAATGCCAGACATGACTAAATCTCAAAAATATTATGGGAAGGAAAAGAAGACATCACAAGAGTCCATATGAAATGCACAATAAATATAATCTATTATGACACAGCAGACTGGTGGTTTTATGGGAGGTCAGACAGCTGAAAGTTGGGGAGGAAGACTGACCTGGATGAGGTATATAAGAATTTTCTGGCATGATAAAAATGTTCTTTACCTCCATTTTGGTGGTGAGTTTATGGGCATTTGAGTTTGTCAAAATATGTATATATCATAAAGTGGCTGCATTATATACACACACAACACACACACACACACACACACACACACACACACACAATGAAGTTGCTTTTTTAAAAATAACCTAGCCTAGCATAATGGCACACAGATGTAATCTTAGTGGCTCTGGAGGCTGATGCCGTAGAACTGCAAGTTAAAAGCCAACCTCAGCAATTTAGCAAAGCCCTAGGCAATTTACCAAGACCCTGTCTCAAAAAAAAAAAAAAAAAAGAAAAAAGAAAAAGAAAAAAAAAGGTTGGGAATACAACTCAATGGTTAAGTGCCTCTGAGTTGAGTTCAATTTCTGGTACCAAAAATAAATAAATTTTTTTAAAAAAATTAAAATAACCTACAAAACTAGTAATCAGAACAGCACAGGAGCAGGAAGAACATGCAACCAAAACTCAAGATCTAATCATGATAAAATTCTCAAACTAGGAACAGAAAGCAACTTCTTTAACCAAAACAGATTAACAGCAAAACATACAACTAACACACTTAGTGATAAAAGACTAAATATTTCCCTACACAGAACTACCTATGTCTAATCTTGCTGTGTAATTATGCCCACACTTCAGAGGAATACTCAGGGGTATGTAGCAGTATTCAACTATATTTTGCTGATAAATCTGCCTTCTTATTCCCTGTTATGACCATTTAATCTCTTCCTCTCCAGTTTCTTCAAATCTCTTACACCACTGTCCCTAGTGTACTCTAAACCTGTAATTTCATCTCATATTTTATTTTTCATAAAGTAAGTCAATAATACAAACTCATCTTCCTGCCATCAAATCAATCAAAAAGGTAGAGGCCTTTATCCTGGCCATCACTTAAGAGAGGCCAAGTTACCTGTACAACTCAAAACTCAGTCAGAATATGAAACATAACAGGTCTTGACCTAGAAACTCAAGGCAACTGATTCTTTTCCACAATTCCTACAATCAAAAGACACATACAACCTCTAAAATATGGCAGAAAATGATAATAAAAAGAGAGATAATTAATTCCCAAACTTTGGGTCCTCATTTTTTCAGTATGATTTTTGCCATTAAAAAACAACAATTACAATAGCAAGTACATTTGGTTTCAGGTCAACAAATGTATTATATAAGAAAAGTATACATACAGATGCAATTTGCACAGCATCTGTTTCTTACCTGCTGGTGGCGAGTGCTGGGAAAGGTGTACTGGACAGAGTGGGGAGGATAACGACTTTGTTCTGTGCTGAATGCTCCTTGGTTGGGAGGATAACCTGAACTTGACATTATCAGTAAAGGAGTCCTCACTGGGCTGTGAGATCAAGTCCAACAAACAATCATGTTTCTAGGAAACCACCTGAACAGGATGAGAAAAAAGAGAATTCATAAGAACTAAAATACTATGCAAAATGTAACTATAGCTATATAAATAAAACCACAATTAGCAGTAAAGTTTTCTCTCATGTATTCACTTCATAGAAGTTGTTGAGGTAGGATAAACATTAATGGGACTTTTCATTTACACTCTAAAATATTCTTTTAATATATGACTAATGATATAATTAGGTATATAAAGTAAAAAAAATACATAAAATTTTAGCATGAGGTAATGGGGATATAGCTCAGTAATAAGATACAGTATCTGCTTAGTAGGCATTAGGCCCTAGACCCCCTTCTTTCCCCMAAAAATCTTAGCATTAGACATGGCACACAGTAGCCATGTCTTTCTATAAATAAGAAACATATATATTATAAAGACAAAAATACATAATTCTAAATTTGGGAGTGGTTTAAAAAAAAAAGTCAACTGTAAAGAGGGCTAGGTATATGGCTCAAATAGTAGCGCGTTCACCTGGCATGCGTGGGGCACTGGGTTCGATCCTCAGCACCACATAAAAACAAAATATTGTGTCCATCTAAAGCTAAAAAGTAAATATTTAAAAAAAAATCCAAGAATATTTATAAATATTTGTGCAAAGAAAATATTGTCTTTATTAAATAATCACAGTTAGGCCCCAAAATAATAGCATAAGAGGACAATGAGGATGGGCAAGTTTTCAAGAAAAAATAAAGTCTATCAACTCAAGGAAAGCAACTGCCAATACCTGCGAGAATCAGAATTTTGGGGGCTGGGAATGTGGCTCAAGCGGTAACGCGCTCGCTTGGCATGCACAGGGTGCTGGGTTTGATCCTCAGCACCACATAAAAAATAAAATAAAGATGTTGTGTCCACCAAAAACTGAAAAATAAATATTAAAAAAATTCTTTTTTTTTTTAAAGAGAGAAAAGAAACAATTTTGGAATACCTTGTATTGTCACTATGAGCTTGACAGCATCTGAACATTTAAAGATTTTTCCTATGAGACTGACTAGTGGTGAAATTAAGAAGTGTGAGGTTTTTATATAACAAAACGTGTCAATATTTGAAATATCTGCATAATTCACATTTTATTCTCCAAGTGACTAATACAGATTGTTACAACATTTTACATGAATGATTTATCTAAAACATGAAGCTAACCAATAAATTTTCATACAGTACATTTTAAAAATGTAAATCATTGGGCTGGATTTGTAGCTCAGTGACAGAGAACTTGCCTAGCAGGTCTGATCCAGCACCACATAAAAATAAGTAAAGATATTGTGTCCATCTACAACATATACATATATATACACACACACATAATAAACTACTGATATGGTTTCAGATTCTATACGATAATCAACCTTTAAAAAATTACCACTTGATTGGTTTTGATGGGAAATCAAAGAACATCCTCAATTATATAAAAAGAGTTGTTAAAATACCCCTCCATTTTTCAACTGTACATCTATGGGGTTAGGTTTTCTTTATAAAGTTTAATAAAAACAACATATTGCAAGATATTGAATGTAGAAATAGATGGGAGAATCAAGCTATCTTCTAAAGTAAAAATGTAAAACACTACCACTCTTCTTAACAATTTTTTTTAACTAGTTGTTCAACATAAAGATGTCATGTAATGGATAGTGCTCAATATACATTGGTGATAAGGATCGAAAATGGTAAGTACCACTGAGCTACGCCCTCAGCCCTATATAGTTTTTAAATAAATATCTTTAAATTTTCATTTTAGTCTTATTTGATAAACAGCATATATAACTCATATAAGCAAAGGAACTTCATAATCCTAAATAATTTACTCCTCAACGCTTATGATACAGAAAAGAAATTAAGGACACTAAAATCCTCAAAGTAATTTCTGATCTAAATTCTTTTAAAAGACCAGGAAATGTACAATACTTTCAACCTAAGAAAGATCCTAACCACAATCCCCCACACATAAATGGTAAAATTGAAAGCTTCAAGTTACATCAAACTATAGTGATACATGCATACCCATGTTTACAGCAGCTCAATTCACAATAGCCCAACTATGGAACCAAGATAGATGACTATCAGTGGATGAATGGATAAAGAAAATGTGGTATATATACACAATGGAGTTTTATTCAACCATAAAGGAAAATGAAACTATGTCATTGTTGGAAGATGGATGGAATTAGAGACCATTATATTAGGTGAAATAAGCCATATTCAGGTCAAGGATCCTACGTTCTTTTGAATATGGAAGCTAGACAGGAAAAAGGAAAAGCATGGGGGCTGAGGTTGTGGCTCAGCGGTAGAGCATTCGCCTAGCACGTGTGAGGCCCTGGGTTCGATCCTTCTYGGCACCTAAAAATAAATAAATGAAGGTATTGTGCCCAACTACAAATAAAAAAAAAATATTAAAAAAAAAAAAGGAAAAGCATGGTAGTGGGGCAGGGATCTCAAGAAAATCAAAGGGAGATCAATAAAGGGATGAAGGGGTGTAAAGCAGGGAAGGAGGGGGGAAGTGCTGGAGAGTGGCAACATCCAAATTATATTTTGTGCACCTAAGAATAGGGAACAGGGGGCTGGGATTGTGGGGCTGGGGTTGTGGCTCAGCGGTAGAATGCTCGCCTAGCACATGCGAGGTGTTGGATTCAATCCTCAGCACAACATAAAAACAAATAAATAAAGGTGCCCAACTACAACTAAAAAATAAATGTTGAAAAAAAAAAAAGAATAGCTAACAGGGGGCTGGGGTTGTGGCTCAATGGTAGAGTGCTTGCCTAGCATGTGTGAGGCCCCGAGTTCAATCCTCAGCACCATATAATGATAAATAAAGGTATTGAGTCCATCTACAACTAAAAAATATTAAAAAAAAAAAAAAAAGAATAGGTAACAGGGCTCGGGTTGTGGCTCGGCAATAGAGTGCTCGCCTAGCACATGCGAAGTATTGGGTTCGATCCTCAGCACAACATAAAAACAAATAAAATAAAGGTATTGTGTCCAACTGCAACTAAAAAAGGAAATTAAAAAAAATATGTAACAACAAATTCTATCATTATGTACAACTATAATGTACCAATTTTTAAAAAGTGGGGTAAAAAAATAGAAACATTTTAAGAAAGCAAACTACAAACCAGAAAATAATTGCAATGGAAAAGCTCTGATTGATATATATATATATATATATATATATATATATATATATATTAGAGAGAGATACAGACATAGATATAGATACTGATATATCTTACAAATGGCAAAATTCCATTACAACCTATATATATATATATATATTATATATATATATATATATTTACAAATCACTAAAAAAATAACAAAGGTGTAGGAACATTGGATTAGCAAAGGAAATAATGCTGTTAAGTAACCATAAATAATCATAAAAAAGCAAAAAAAATCACTTTTCCCAAAAAACTTAGCAATATATAAAAGTACAATAATGTACATTAGTAATGTAAATTAATGTATGTATATAATAATGTATATTTAAAAATGTATAATAATGCCAAGTGTTGAAGAAAGTTTTAGAAAATAGGCATTTTTTTTTTCACTTTCCTAGTTCATATATAAATTGGTACAAATTTGCTCTCTGAATAATGGCAATTTATGGGCTGTGGTTGTGGCTCAATGGTAGAGCACCTACCTGCCTTGCATATGTGAGGCATTGGGTTCGATCCTCAACACCACATAAAAATAAATAAAGATTTTTTTAAAAAAATAATAATGGCAATTTATACCACATTACTTGAAAATATGCTTTTCTAGGAATTGTCTTAAATATATATACAAAAAATAAGCTTAAGAAAATTATGCTTTAAAACAAAAATTTAAGCAGGGTATGGTGGCTCACATCTGTAGCCTCAATTACTCAAAAGAATGAAGCAGGTAGAATACTTGCACCCAGGAGTTGGAGGTCAATCTGGGCATCATAGTGAGACCCTATCTCTCAAAAACAAAAAATAAAAAACATTTAGCCAATAGGCAAAGGCCACATAAATGAGAACATTTTGATTTTTTTTTTTTTTAAAAAGAATGCTGGGGCTGGGGTTGTAGCTCAGTGGTAGAGCACTTGCGTAGCACGTATAAGGCATTGGGTTAAATCCTCAGGATCACACAAAATTAAACAAATAAAGATATTGTGTCCATTTATAACTAAAAATATTTAAAAAATGCTATGTATAGCATTATCATTTAATTTTTCACATCTGTCATATCTTCACAGAATTGTAACATTAAAGACAAAAATGTCATTTATGTACACACATTTATTGAGSCATATACTACTATGTACCACTGTTCTAAACTGGCATATACATACATCATACATATATGTGTGTGTGAACACAATACCTTTATTTATTTATTTTATGTGGTACCAGGGATCAAACCCAGTGCTTCACGCATGCTAGGCAAGCGCTCTACCACTGAGCCACAATCCCAGCCATAACTGGCAAGATATGCTATCTTATTGTGAGGAGACATAGGCAATAAACAAATAATCATAAAATAATAGGATAAAATGTTATAAATAAAACAAGGCAATAGGCGGACAGAAGGGCAAAACGGAGGAAGGGATGAGGGGGTAGGGTGAGCACAGAAGTCCAATCTCAGCTCTGATGTGCTCTGGTTTCCTCAAACAGTCCTAATCTACACCTCTTGTTCCAGTGCAGTTATTCTCCATTTCACTCTCAAAATTGTCCCCAGGTTGATTATTAAATTATATTCTAAGGCAACCTTTGCACTTAAGTTCAAAAGACGAGAATGAAACTGTCCTAGAAAAGATGGGATTTTGCAGGTTTTCTAGAAACTGGCATTCTCTCTCTCTTTGAACATTAATCCTTTTTCCATCTTTAGGCTATAAACATTTGTTCTGGAATTCTTGTTTCATCTTTTTTTTTATTTTTTTTTAATATTTATTTTTTTAGTTCTCGGCGGACACAACATCTTTGTTGGTATGTGGTGCTGAGGATGGAACCCTGGCCGCA